GGGGTGGGTGTTGGTGTTGGTCATGGTGGTAGTGGTGGTTTGGGGTGATGGATGGAGGAGTCACGTTCCTTCCTGACTGGAAGATGCTGCTTGCCGGTGAAACTGAAATGAAGTCAGGCCTGGAGCTCGTCCAATGCAGGACAGATGTGCCACGCTCATGGATTCAACACTAAAAGTAGTGTCGTGAATTGAGCAGGGCAGGGAAGGGGAGCAATATGGCAGATTCTCTTTCTAATGTCTGTGTCACCCCAGCCCCTTCACACTGCCCCCTTCAGGGGAGATCGCCTGTCCTGCGGTTGCAGACTGGTGCACACCACGCACCAATTCAGATACTGGTGCTTAAAGGGGGGCAACGACAAGGAAGGTCCCTGGTGACTTGGTGACCCAGCTGAGCAAGAGCAGATGGTGGGGAAATGGCTAGTGGTGGAGAGCCCACATCAGAGGTCACAGGATGGAGACAGATGTGACTCCTTAGGGGCCACGACCAAAGGGGATAATTCTGGAACAGTGGCAGAGTGTGTCTGACGCACTGGCATTACAGTAACACAGTACGTGCTTGCAAGGAGATTGGAGAAATCTGTCTCATACATGAGTGCCAAGGTACTGTAGGCATTTGTGATGATGCCTTCGCCCATAGCAGGGGTATGAAGTATCAATGCGGCTGTCAATTGTTTGCACAGTTGTTATCAATTGTTAACAGGGAGGTGGGGGTGGCCATGATGGGGATAATGGTGATGGGGTGGAGGGGGGTCAAGAAAGTGGAACTTGGCTAAAAGTGCTTCCACATCTCACCATATGCCAGTGTCCTACACCATGCCTCATATCCTGCTGGTGAAGTCTTCCCCTGCACAGGGACAGGTGGAGCAATCATTGGTGAAACTCTGCCAGGCTTCCGAAACCTGGAGGACATTGGCTAAGACCATCTCAGCAGCCAGCAGGGATCTGAGCTGCCTGTGCTGAACCAGTGGGAGTTACACCAGGTAGAAACGCCGGAAAGACAAAGCAAAGACCTGTAGTTTCGCAGGGCAAGCAACTGATGTGTTTGAATATGAAGTTTCTGTTTACTGTCTGAACATATGAGTCTTGTGCCCTGTCAAACACTGTACAGCAGCAGTGAGCCACTACCATCCCAGGCACCCTGGTCACTGTGTATTGAGGGGCCAGGTTGGTCCAGGACCCGGAAGTGCATCTTCAGCACTTACCCCTGTGGCTTACGCCTGGTTGTTGTAAAGTTTTTTTTTTCCCCCATTGCTGCTGGGCATCAGTGCTTGGCTTCTTCAGAAGTATTGTCAGCTGGGGTTTCTGTGGGTATCAGAAAGGCCAGCCAGTGGTGTGTGTGCTGGTACAAATAGAGCAGGGAGGGATGCGTGGTACAGAGTGAATGCAGGATGACAGCCTGCACAGCCCTACAGAAATACCTGCTTGTGAAGCTTCACAGTGGAAAGGTTAATGGACACACCCAGGTGATCTGCAGGAACTGGTGTGAGGTTCAAATTGCCATTTCATGCTGAGTTTGTGTGTGAATCAGCCAGAGCAGTAAACCATTACTTGTGCCCCACCCCGTTATCAGCATCGGTTATAAAGTTGGCCAAATTTTTTCTTCCCCATTATTCATTCACAGGATGAGGGCATCACTAGCTCAGCATTTATTGCCCATCCCTAATCGCCCAGAGGGCAGTTCAGAATCAACCACATTGCTGTGGGACTGGAGTCACATATAGGCCAGACCAGGTAAGG